ATTTTATTTCACTTAACGATTTATTCTTCCAACCATCGCGGTGGACATACAGGAAACTTTCATATACTTGCAAGTCACAAGACACATAACTCATCCTCTGGGAACTGCGGGATAGCTGAGAGGAACTCCTGCAGGGATGGCCTGTCCTGGAGGGGTCCCACTGCTCTGGGATGGGAGCAGGGAGATCTGTGGTGGGACTTCGGTGCTGTTGACGCGGGGAGCCTTGGCCATTCCTACTGGCTGGCTTCCTCCGTCACCTGGGGTTTGGTCACCCCAGCACCAGCGCAGCCCTGGTGCGGGGTTTCATCAGAGAGCTGCATGCAAGCTGATGGAGAGTTTATTCATGTAAACCACGAATTAAAAGATGGAACTGGAAGGAAATCTTCACTAAACCGTGATATAATATTGGCAGTGGATTTTTTTTTTGGGGGAGAGGGGGGTTGCGAGGTTTCTCTGCACTAGTGGTTAGGAGATGGTTAATCCTTTTATAGCCTTGTTTGAGTAGCAGTTGGGTGAAATCCTTTATCTCAAGCCTCGTATTGTAGTAGATAATGACCAGGAAGCATCGGTATTTATATTACCAAGTTGGAGGTGATTAGTTTAGTATTATTCCTAGAATGGCAGACATGATTGTTCCTATGCTACCACGTTGTTTTTATAAAACATTTGCATAAATGTTTTGGCTTCTGTTGTTCAGAGTAACTGAAATCTCTTTTCAATCGTACATATCTAAAAAAATATCAGTAAAATATTCAGTGTGGATGTGTTATTCTTTCCCGGGCAGCTAAGGAAGATGATACAGTTTAGGCTGAAGTTGGTTGTGTTTCTGAAGTTTCGTCAGTTACAGTTGATGGAAAAAAAATAAATACATCTGGATTATGTTCACCAGACATTGGGAGGAGAGAATCAAAACTCTGATGCTGGTTATTTATAGCTATTTACAAATATTTTTAGGGAAGAGATTTTCCTAAACTTCTAGAGAAGTTTTATATTCCTTCATATTCTGCACCAAGCAACAGTCAGTTTTCCAAATTCTCCAGCCCATAATAGTTAAATGTATTTATGTCAATTAATATTGACAGGAAGTCAGTTTGAACAGCATTGGAAAATGGAAGTAGTTGGCTGAACTGGCTAATTTCACTGAATTTCCTTTTGCTAAAAATATCTCTAAAAGAAGCTCTCCTTTTGAGACACAATGAATGCTTGTTTGGCTGTAGTTTAGAATTGATGATGACTCTTGTCCTTTAACCAAAAGGGCTTGAAAAATATGAATAATCTTTTGAAATGTATTTGGCTTCCTCTGTAGTGTATGTAATTATGTTCATGTCTGCCAAAAGTTTACATACATGCTTAACTTGATGTGAGTAACTCCATCAGCTTGAGTGATCTGCAGTCGAAATGGAAGTTCTGTAGAGATGCTTATGTCGAATTGGGAATTTCCTCTGTATGAGTGTTGGTAGGAGTAGGGAGTTTTGAGCCTAATTGCCCTGTTAAATTTTGGGACGCAACTCTCTCATTGATGTAGGAAAAGGCAAGGCTTTAGTCCTGCTGACAGCGTTCAGTGTATAGGTGAGAATACATATAAATATATTCTCACCTTTATTGCTTGCAAATATGTTAAAAATAATTTTAGATTGCAATGGCAGTATTAGGAGTTAACAAATATTAGAAATGGGATGAGTTTCATGTAGTTGCTTAGGTCCTGTGCTGCTGCTGCATTATGATACGAGAACGTCATATTGTCCTTACAAGACAGCCTAGAACAGTCATTTCCCAGGTTTGGCCAATTTGGGTTGTAAGCATTATTTAGATAGAAAGACTCCTTGCCTGGACATCTTGCGCTTAGAGAAGTTGGTGACGTGTGGTGACAGAGAGGATTGTTGGATGAGAAAGGGTTGTCTCGGGAGTTACAGTTGTGCCCTGGCTCTTGTACTTGCTAAGACTTTTTCCCTATGAAATAAAACTGAGAGGGGAAGAAAGGCTGCAGGGATGTCAAGAGTAACAGGAATCATGAGGATGCAAGCGTTGCCTTGTGCCAGAGGATTACTGCCTCTTGGAGTAAGTGGGTGATACCTGCTGTGCAGCACGGCTCTGCGGGACCTACTGCTGCTGGGATCCCAGCCCTGGTGAGTGGGCTTTGAAAGGGGAGATGCCAGTGAGTCCAGAGGGGTGAGGCTGTTCCAGGCAGGAATTTTCTTTGATGTGATTCCACCTGCATTGGCTTTTATTGCTTCATCTGGAAAAGATCTCATAGTAAGCTTTTTCTTGTTATAAGTTGTAGTCATTCTAGGTATTGGAATATTACTGTATTTGGAAAGAAAGAGGCTAAACCTTCTCAAAGTATTTTAAATACACTTTGCAGCCTTGGACAGTGATTAAAATCCTCAGTAAAGAGTTGAAAACGACATAGGTTTGGTACATTAAACTGTTACTCCCTGTTCAGAGGGACAGAGGCTGTATTTTGGAAGGCCTGCTGCAGTGTGAGCTTGGCTCCAGTTTCCATGCGTTAGAAAACCACGCCTGCCTGCGGCTTGCCTGCGAGCTGACTGCCTCCTAACATCTTCAGCTGTGAGGTGATCGTGAAGTCTCTGGTCGACCATTTGTATTGCCCTGAATTTTCATTGTATATATGTTCCATTTTTAACCTTTTGTATGGACAAATGATTTTTGTTCCTTACCAGAAAATGAAATGTTAAACTGGAATATTGAAACAGAGAGCCCTTTCTGTGGCTCACCTCCCCCCTTTTTTATTTTAGATACAATTAAAGTAATTGCTAACAAAGACAGTGAAATGCGTGCAGATAATTTGGGGCATTTGCACTACCGAGCTGCTTTCAGCAGTAGTAATCTCCAGCCGTCTTTCCTTTCTGAGGCTCTTTCAAAACCTCCTTCAGCTGCAGTGCACATAAGAAATGAAACAAATCTCTTGGCGGGCCCTAAATTTGATTAAATTGTAAGCTCATGAGAGCAGCAGCCCTTTGAGCATTTTGCACGTTAGGGGCTTGGTGTGGAGCTCTCTGGCGCTGCGACACGGCTGAGTCTTCTGTGTATTGTCAGAATTCAGAAACTCTGTTAGTTCTCGATTCTTGTGTTACCTTTCGTACTGAAAACAAGTTGTCCGGCGTTTCAGGCTCCCACCCTTTAGTCAACTGCATTTTTGCATTTGGAGTCATTACATTTTCTTTTGCCAGAGTTTTACAAGCACGTAGATTATACAGTACTGAGAACGAGTTTTAAAATACAATGCAGTGAGGTTGGAAATATTGAGGATAGGTCAGGTTAATGGATGGTGTAAAGCTGGGTGGAAATCTTAAGGATGCAGTAGGGAACTGGCTTGAGCTGCTTTAGAGAACTCGGCGTTGGAGAAAATTTCCGAATTAAAAGCTGTTGTTGCTTGCTGCTGCTAGCAGATGGCTATGGTCCTTTACAGACTTGTCCAGAATGGAGGCAGTAGTGTTTTTTGATATTATGGGGTTTGTAGCACACATTTGGTGATACTGCAGCACTAATGAATGGGGGTGAAGGACTGGAAGCCACCTCCTGGGGAAAGTTCTCCTTTGGGCTTTGTCTGCACAGCTTGATTTGCGACTGAGGTAAAGTGGCTTGCCTTTAAATCCTTAAATAGATCTTCTTTACCTTTTTTTTTTTTTTTTGTTAATGTGAATGGATATATTGAACGAAGTGTGCTCCTTTGTGTTCTCCCAGCACATGTTTATACTGAAGGCAAGCATACATCGCCTAACCATGCAATTAAAAATAGTTACTGAGCTTTGCTGAAAACTGTATTTCTAGTACTTGGTGATGGCTTAAGCATGCAAAATATTATTTAATTGATCATGCGAGCTTCATGGACTTGTGCAGAAGATGGAATGCCAGGACAGTGGCACAGCTCCTGTGGAGGTTTTAAGGGTATTTTAACATAGCTCAGGTGGCACAAGGTGTTCTTCTGAGATACAAACTTTCTTCATTGGTGAATGCGGCATAACAAGGGAAAGTTGATTCTAGGCTAAAAGGTGGACTAACCTGGAGACAATGAAGTTATTGTTGCCATTGGTTGGATATAACAGATATTATCTGTTACTTGTGGAAGTCGGTGATATTTTTTTTCCACGAAGATTCATTCAGAAACCTCTCCAGAGTATCCAGAATCATAAAGTTCTCGGGCATGTCGTGTTTTGAATTTAAACATGAAGCAGAGCAGTTTTCTATGATGCATGATTTTGTAAAAATGTAAATGGGAATCTATAGTTAAGAAATCTGTTCACTTACTAGGCTGCTTTATCATAATTGAGAAGGGAAAATTCAGGATACCCTATAAAGATATGTTTTATCCTACTCTCATGAAACATTCCTTCATAACTTTTCTTGTCTTGAAGCATAATACATTATTTCTGAGCATTCAGTTGACTTTTTGATAGACTTATTTTAAAAATCCTTGTGTTTGTGTCTTCAAAGCACGTGAAACTAGTGACAGTGTTCTGCTTCACGTTAGAAGCGGAGACCTGTGGTTCAGAGCTGGTCGGTAGGGAGATCTTTGGGCAAAGTGTTTGTGTTACAGTAGCGTGATAGATTTCACTGCAGATTGAATTGAGACTCTTGTGCTGAAAGAATAAGCCTGTACAGATTGGTTTGAAGAGGCAGGCACTTAAAATTATAGCAAATCTTTATTGACTGAGCATAGAGAGAGGAGAGAATATTCATGTTGATGACCAGGGTATTATGCTAAGAACTAGCTAAGACATAGGACAGTGACTGAAATACAGCACTGAAACCAGTATTATGTTTGAGTTGTAATTTTTCTTTTCTCATGTATACTGATTAGTATAGCACTTCTACCACAGTGGGTCTTCTGAGCAATATGTGTAGTATTTTTAGTTTAGCACTGGGTCTTCATTGAGGGTTGAATAGAAGGATGGATCATTAACCTGAGAGAGCACTGTCTTGATGTTGAAACATTCAGCTCTAACTTTGGTTTCTCTTGTCTCTGTGTTACAGAAATACTAATACGGAGCATTTGACCTTCCGTCTCTACAGCTGAATCTCCTGATACCAGGATTAGGAAAGAGTAAGCAAATGGGTGTCACACCTCCGAAGCTCCTCCCTTGGTTCAAGGCTTGCGTGTTTTAAGGGTCCTTGTCGCCTCAGCAGTGGATTGTTCTTGTGAACTTCAGAACGGTTTTCATGTGGTGCTTGCTGAACGTTGAGTCACCATGAGTAGTAATCTAGGAAAAGAAAAAGACTGTAAAGAGAAGGATCCAAAAGTCCCATCGTCAAAAGAAAGGGAAAAGGAGGCCAAGGCCTCTGGAGGATTTGGGAAGGACAGCAAAGAAAAGGAGCCTAAGACCAAAGGGAAAGATGCCAAAGATGGAAAGAAGGACTCCAGCAGCACGCAGCCTGGGGTAGCTTTTTCAGTGGACAATACGATAAAAAGACCTAATCCAGCCACAGGTACCCGCAAAAAATCCAGCAATGCTGAAGTGATCAAAGAGCTAAATAAATGCCGGGAAGAGAATTCTATGCGCTTGGACTTGTCCAAGAGGTCTATACACATGCTTCCATCAGCTGTCAAAGAGCTAACGCAGTTAACAGAACTTTATTTATACAGTAACAAACTGCAGTCCCTACCAGCTGAGGTGGGCTGTCTTGTGAACCTGATGACACTGGCCCTGAGTGAAAACTCGCTCACCAGTTTGCCTGACTCTCTTGATAACTTGAAGAAACTGCGCATGCTTGACCTGCGGCATAACAAACTTAGAGAAATCCCTTCGGTGGTGTACAGGCTAAGCTCTCTCGCCACTCTTTACCTACGCTTTAATCGTATAACTACTGTGGAAAAGGATATCAAAAACTTGTTAAAACTCACCATGCTTAGCATACGAGAGAACAAAATCAAGCAACTACCTGCTGAGATTGGTAAGCGATTACACTGATTGAAAGTTTTAAGTGTACGCTTATGTTCATGTTGTAATTCAGTTTCATATAGATGTGAACTGCCACTTCTCCAGGTACCTTTCTCTGTGTACAACTTAACAAAGTTATGCTCATGATCAGTGTTAGAATGTTGGCTTATATCGAGAGTGATCAATACCTTGGATATATTTCTGAAACAACAAAAGCCCTTTTCCTTCATCTGTCATCTTAAAATCAGAAGTATCTTGTTTTCATCTTTGCCTTGTGCTTTCACATATTGTGTCTTCAGAGCCCAGATGGTTTGGGGGAAAAAAAAAAGGTACAGGGGCATATTTCATTTTAAGATTTCTTTATAAATCATTTATGAACCGTTGCAAGTTATAAACACATTATGGGCATGTTACAGAGGGGTGTGACCATGGTAATACAAGATAGAATAGGTAGCTATGTGCTGCTACCGTGAGCATGCTGTTGGATGCCATAACAGTTAATAATGTAGGTTAATGATTCGTGAAAGCCTCTACCTTGTACAGTTCATGAATACATTAATACGTGGACTCGATATAAAGTGATCAAACGTTGTATGTATGGCTGAGGATTCTTACGACTTTTTAATGAATAATGTTTGTTTTTCCAAACGTTGTTACAAAAGTTTGAAAGGTGGTGAAATAGTGCGAAAAGGGCTTATTAAATTAAGTAGTTTATTACAAAAAATGTGCTGAAGTAGCTCTATATCAACAACTCCTAAGCTATTCCTAATTGGTTCTGATTCACGGAAAACATCTCTAGCACACTGTTCTCCAGTGATACTTTAATGATGTACGTGCCTCATAAAAGGGAGATTCTATCATTGGTGTTCAGTTCTGGGCCCCTCACTGCAAGACAGACACTGAGGGGCTGGAGCGTGTCCAGAGAAGGGAACGGAGCTGGGGCGGGGTCTGGAGCACAAGTCCTGTGGGGAGCAGCTGAGGGAATTGGCAGCCTGGAGAAGAGGAGGCTCAGGGGAGACCTTATTGCTCTCTACAGCTCCCTGAAAGGAGGGTGCAGAAGGGGGGTGTTGGTGTCTTCTCCCAAGTGACAAGCAATAGGACAAGAGGACAAGAGGAACGCCCTCAAGTTGTGCCAGAGGAGGCATAGATTGGATATTAAGAAAAATGTCTCCCTGGAAAGGGTTGTCGGGCATTGGAAGGGGCTGTCCAGTGAGGTGGTGGAGTCACCATCCCTGGAGGGATTTGAGACGTGTAGATGAGATGAGATGCTCAGGGACATGGTTTAGTGGTGGATTTGGCAGTGCTGTGTTAGTGGTTGGACGTGATGATCTTAAATGTCTTTTCCAACCCAAATAATTCTGTGATTCTATCAGTGTATTTTTTTTATGTATCAGTAGTTTTTAAAATACAATCATAGCTTAGTCCCTTTATGTGGATGGGGACCATAAAATTCATGCAGTTAAGAAATATCTTCAACTTTCAACAAGTGTGGAAGAAAAAATCTGTAAAAGCCTTTGTAAGACTGAGTAGTAATTCCTGTGCCCTGTTTTTAAAAGCTGGTGTGGGACTTTACTGTTATCCAGGCCAGTCTGCGAGTACGTTAAGCGCTACTGAAGTTGGCCCCTCCGCTCGCTAATTTTACAAAGCTTGGGAAATTATCTTGTTTGTATCCCTAATAGATCTTTTTCAGACCAGCAGTGTTTGCCTCTCTCTTGCACCTTGATATGAAAGATGCATGAGATAACATGTTCTTGAGGGCAGGAACTCCTGGGCATGTCTAGAATTGCTAATCATGTTGGCAGCAATGTCCGGCACACGCAGCTTCTGTACCTGGTAACAGGAGTGAAGAAGTGTCCGGACTGGCAGTTGTTGGTCCTAGCCTTTGGCCTCCTGTGGCAGATACTGGAATGGATTCTACGATATATCACTATATTCCACAGACACGCTTTTTTGCCAGGCAAAAATTAAGTGGTTAATGTGGTATGTATTTTGATCAACATGGTTTTTGAGTTGGCGCTAGCATCTCAGCAATCCTGGGAATTTCCCCTAGGAGAGCTAAGGAATTGTAATTTTGACCTATTTTGACCCTTCAGTTTAAGTCCAACAGTGGCTGCTTTAGCTGGTTGAGCTCTATCACACAATTGTCAGTGCTTTACCTGGCTCTGTGGATCAGTTATTAAATGCAACCCAGCAGAGTCAGCTTCTCAGGTTCAACTGGGGATAGTGCTGCATAAATTTAAATTAATGCCAGTGCGTGAAGAAAAAAACCTTTGTGAGGTGTTACATCCAGTGTTTGGTGTTCCCCTCAAGAAACTCTAGGTGTTTGATGCTGTAGACGACGTTGTTGCTGCTGGAAACTCTTTGTTTCTCGACTGTTCTGTTTGTTGAATTCTTATGGCTAAGTTTACATTAAAGTGTATGATTTCTGTGTGTGTTTGTTCACAACAGTCTTGAAAGAGATCATGTGTGACACTTTTGTAGAGAAATATAGTAAATATATGTATCATGAAGGAATATCCAATTTGCTTGCTTCTTTTGTGGTTTTTTATTCTTGTCCTGATACACATACTGGCAGTGTTCTCAGTTCTTTATCAGATCCTGTCAGGAGAACATTAACCACATTACTTCTCTCTTTGTATCCAGAGTTAGTTGTGCCTTTATTTGTATTGTGATAATGCTGATGTTCCTTGGTATGGGTCAGCACCTTGCTGTGAAGGCATTTTAGAAGCACAAATGCAAGACAACTGTCACCCACATGAAGAATTTCAAAGGGAAATCACTATGTTCAGCAGCATCCATTTTTATTCAGTTTCTCTGACTAGCTTGCCTGTGATTTGAATTAATTGAAAAATAAAATAATTAAAGGATTTATAAGTTTAAGTAACACAAATAATTTTAACTGCCAAAGCATACAGAGCTGGCATTTGAAAACCTTTTTCTTCAAGTAGTAAAACCAGGCAAGATAGTTTCACTTTTGTAATTTATTTCTACTCGCTCACTTTCACATATCTTCGTTCTGGTACAGAGGTTAAATGTTTCGAATTGGAAACACAGCTGAAAAATGAACTCCTGATAAATGTATTTCTTACTTTCCAATGGAATTTCTCTGTTTCTTTAAACACTTTATTTCTGGTTTACATGTGCACTTGCTAGAAAATCTGTGCTTTCTGACTAAGTTGTTGCTGAAGACACTGCAAGATTGATCTTCAGGTGGATTCTTAAGAGTCTTGAAGAGGCAACCTCCACCCAAGCTCATATTTTATTTTCAGTTCTGTTATGTTCATAGTGAGTTGTAGCCAATTCCTCAGATATCTTGACATCTTCTACTACTTGTGACCAGAGTCTGCTATTTATTTCTACATGCTACTACATCAGACGTCTTTGGAGTCTAGGTTGACTAGATAAAATAAACTAGATGTTCCATATTTTTGTAGAAAATGTAACTCTTTATGCCAACCTAATTTAATATTTTACTGCTAGTTTTTCAAATCACTGTCTTTTGCCTCTGTTTTCTACTTACTTCCATGTCTTTTGTTAATCTTGCCTGAAAATTCTGTTGGTTTGTGCGGTGTTAGTTGACTGTGAGGTTGTCAGGATCTCCCCTTGTTATTTCTTCTATCTTAAAGTTTGAATTGCTACTCTCCAGTTTGATAGATGATATGTAGAAACCTTGCTTCTGATCATGTGATTTCAAAATAAGTTTCTAGAAATGCTTATATGGAACATCTGCTGCTCGCTGTGCAAGCATACAGTATTAATACTTGTTAGAAATACATTCCTTTTAGGGAAGCCTGAAACTGTGGCTAAAACATTTCTTATGAGCCTGAGTGAAGGTAAAACATACTGTGGATTAGATTTTTAAGTTGTCCTGGAAACTGGTTTAAAACCACTGACCTCTTACGGTGTGTATTGTCTTGAGGAAAACCTAGAAGAGGTGAATTTAGCAGCACTAAGCTGCTGGGAAGTAATCTAAAGTTTGGTTCCACTTTGGGCTGTAAACTGTCTTCAGTAGTTAAATAACACAAACTTAAATGAGGTGACTACACTGGGGGAAAAGTTGCTTTGCATTTAAAACAAACATGTTAGTGAGAAAGAGGAAGCGTTACTATCTATAGTTAGTAAACAGATGTGTGTGTTCCTGGTCTTTTTTTTTTTTTTTCTCCAGAATGCAGTACCTCTTGTTCCCTTGCATCCAGTTTCTTTATTATAAGTAGGATGATCACAGTAAGTTTTCCTGTCTTTTCAATATTCAGACAGCTTCTTAATTTTAAATAGTAGTTTCCTCAACTGAACTCACTCAGTAAACCAAAAAATGAAGAAAATATTATCTGGGCTTTGGAAGAAGATGGTCTTTTAGTAATTCAGGAAATTCAGGCTCCTGGCACCTAGCATGTCATTGCAGCTAGTCGTTTATTGGACTTCTCTTAACACTTTTCCAGTGGCATGAATATTGCTTGTACATTTTCGGTGCAATTTAGATGATTTTAATAGACTGCATAGTAAGCTGAGGTCTTGATATGCATTGTTGCATTTTCAATTATAAGTAGGTCTGTTTGAATAAGATCTAAAAATACTTCAGAATGCATTTAACTGGGAAGGTATTCTGAGGTGGTTTTTTAACCCCTTTTTTTGCATGTTTAGCTAAAAGCTGGGTTCAAGAGTAGCTGAATTAGGGGGAGTTTTTGTGAATTGGCTGTGCCGATGGGCAATAGCTTCGTGATGCTGAAAGGGGCAGTATTCACTCCCCTCCTTGCAGTTTCCCAGCTGCTCAGCCCTTCTGCCTCCTTCATCTGAGCTGTTCCTTGGTGAGCTCATTTATCTCGGTAACTAAGAGAATAACATTCATGGTTTTGCTGCTTTGTCTTGTCTATTACTTTAATTGAAATTGGTGAAGTTTCAGATAAGGCTGGAACTGGTGTGTAGGAGAAGGAGTGGGAGAGCATGAACTGGATCAGGGAGAGCAGGACAGCTACTTTTGCCCATGCTGAGCTGTTAAATCGGCTTGGTTCGCTG